AGATGCGGCTGGTTCACCTGTGTCACTCATTAGTGTCTGTTTGGTTCTCCACAGGTTACTTTTCAAGTTAACAGGATTCGATCAGCAGGGCTGCATTTGATGAGTGGGGCAGGTAAACGGTTACCTGCCATATTATTCTTTATACCTTCATGGAGGCTCACGTTGTAAAGCAAAGTATAAAGCACCTAGTCTACGGCCACGCCACCCTGAACACACCCAATCCCGTCCGATCTCGGAAGCTCAGCAGGGTCGGGCCTGGTTAGTACTCGGATGGGAGACCACCTAGGAAGACCAGGTGCTGTAGGCGTAAAAAATAAAAAATTTTTTAAAGCACGACGGCAGGGCCCAGAACGCCAGTGGAACGGGCAGACGGCCTCCACGAGGCACCCCAGGTCTACACAGACGGTGCGCTCATTGGAGGAGGGTCCGTCAGAAACGGAGACAGCGAAATTGACTTCAAAGACAAATGCCGCGGGCCGTCCAACGTCGCGGGTGAGACCCGCTCGCCGAGGCCCCCGCGTTTGCCCCTCAGCACACGGGCTCGTGGGACAGGGTGCGCTGCTCCCACGGACGGTCACATTTCCCGTCATCACAAGGCTTTCTGGTTTCCGCATCGACCCCGTGAACACAGGAACACGGTTTCTCGTTGAATCCTCGGGAGAACGTTAAGCCGGCTCGTTTATCTCCGTATCCACGGACAAGCTCGGTCCCCAAGGACCTCTGCAACGCAAAAGCCCGGCGGGCGAGAACACTTTACCTTCATATCTCGATCCGTCTGGGTATATAAAAGTGCCTTGACCATGCTTTTTATTTTTAACATACTCTCCAATGTATCGCGCGCCATTTTTAAACTTGTAGATCCCCTGAAACACACAGATTACAGGATTCATATCATCCTGGAACTTCATACTCACGAACAGAGTATTGAACGGAGGAGACCACCCAGGCGAGGCGCCCATTCTGACCTGCCCGTGCCTCTTCCCGTGTTCGTAGCTACCCTCGTACGTGTCCCCGTTGGGCAGCCTCGCTTTCCCATAGCCGTGCCTTTCGCCCGCCTCATTCCGGTCCCCTTCATATTCCTGGCAAAAGAAATCAGGATAAACGCAGCTGTTTTTGTAAGCGCCAACCACGTGCTAAGCATCTTGCAAATAGTATTCCATCGAATCCTCCCAATCCTCGGCCCGGGCGTACAGGTGAAGTAGGTAACCTGGGTGACATATCTCTGGGCATTAAAAAGTTACATGTCAATGGAGCCATTTGAGGAGACAAACTAGAAAGCTTACCGGGCAGATGTTATAGGTTCTTTTCCCCTGAAGCAGACCCTGAGCAACTGAGTATTTTTGTTTTTTTTTAAAGTGCTCCCTGGAGAAACCAGTAAAGGGGGAGGGGAAACAGACATGAGCGAGGAGGCCACTAAGCATGGGTGATGTCCAGTGACGTCCCAGACTCGACATCATCACACGGGGAATTCTGGAGTGTAAGTCAGTGCAGCTGGTCCTGCTTTTCAGCATTAGCTGCGGGCTGTCCTGAGACACGCAGCTCCCAGGCGCTCTGGAGCCCCCTACTGGCCAGGTGGCTCCAGTGCATAGAGGTGCTTCTGGAGCAGCAAAGCAGGTAGAAAGCCGCTGGGAGATGGGGCACAGAGCTAGCTAAAAGATCCGAGCAGCCACCGACAGCATCTCTCACAGTGGATGTGCTAGATTTTTTCAGTTAATACTGAAACTATCTCATCTCTGTATCCTGCACACACACAGAGGCAGAGGCTCCAATCTGTCGGCCAGGAAACAGTCGCCCTCTGGCTTAGGGAGGCTGGTGTGGGCAGCACCTACACGCCCACTCAACCCAGCTCACCTGGCAGGTTGTGCATCCTTACCCCCTCTCTGCTGCCTAAACCGGGGAATAACTCCAACTACCTGGTAAGATCGATCTCACACGAGTGAAGAAGGCACGTGTGATTACAGACCTACACGGTGACTTCTTCCAGAAGCCTTCACTGAGCCTGAGGCCGCCTTGGTTCTCGAAGACTGCCAGGAAGCAGCTTTCCTTCGGCCCCGTAGACCTGAGGAGCCAAGCTCCACTACGGAATACTTATTCAAGGATAACCCAGGCGCCCCAGAAAGCTGTCTGCACGGAGGGTAACAGCAGGAGAAGGATGCTTCCGAAGCCTCCGGCTTGGAAATCTTTGCCTTTAATTAGAGGCGGGATGGGAGGGAGGGAGAGCGAAAAGGGATGTGGCAAAAAGCCGACGTCATAACGTTGCACCTTTCACCGTCAACTCCCAGGACGCAGCGCCCGCTGTGGTCGGCGTGGTCTTCGTCCCTGCTGGGCCTCCGGCCGGGGGCCTGTGACTGGACTCGAGGCCTCCCCGCTCTCCGACCTCGGCCTCGGGGGTCCGCCCGCCCTCGCGCACCCCGGGAAGCCCCTCCCTCGCCCGGAGCTCTCACCCCAAGATCATTCTCTCCCTCCTCCTCCAACTCCTCGGAGCCCAGGTCGGACATGGCCTCGCCCCAGCCTTGACCCCCGCGGCCGCGGACGCGTCTCTAGTAGGTAGGTACCCGCTGCGCGCACGGCCGCGTCCGCCGTTGCCATGGAGACGCGGCCAGACCCGCCTCCCTCGCGGCGCGGGCGGAGGCGGGAAGGAGTCGGGAGGCGCCCCTGGCCGCCTTCGGCACCGTCATGGCAACGGGAAGGGCCTCGGCCAATCGCCGCCCGGGACGAGGGGGAGGCGGGGCCGGGGCGGACTTGGTACCCGCCCGCGCTCCAACCGAGACGCCAAGTAGGTGGCCCCTGGAATCCCTTGAGTCGGCTGCGGGGTGATGCGGTAACGGGGAGCCACCTTTGGATCAGGGTCCTAAAGAGGAGCGGCGCAAGAACGCGGCGGGCTGTAGCTCTGGAAAGGGCTGCGCCCCTGCCCGCTGCTGGACACGGCCTTTCCGACCCAGCCCCTCGGCTTCTCCCGAGCCGGGCGGGCCTGCCCGCTCCTCCTGACCCTCCTGCGTTGGCGGTCCACGGAGCAGTGTCCACCGAGATCTTTCCTCGTGTCTGTAAACGCCCCCTGACTCAAGGAAGCATCTCCGACCTCTCAGCGGATGCGCGGGCGCGCACACACACACACACACACACACACACACACACACAGGCACATTCACAATCACTACCACTCACTAATGGGCCCCTCCTCCGGTCATCCGACAGTCTCCTCCAGACATGTGACACTCTGCCGGCCCGGGCCGCTCACGATCTCTTTCCCAGTTCCTCCAGGCCTTCTTACCCACTCCGTAAAGGCTGGCAGTCGGCTCTGATTGAGCCTCTCTGCCTCCAGCCTCTGGCCCTCTGCGCCACCTCCTGCTCCTGCTCCATTTACAAACCCAGATGCAGTCTCACTCGCTGGCGGTCGGTATCTCCACGCTCGGGGCCCGCGCCCTCTCGGCCTCACTGCCCACCGCTCCCTTTCTATACTTGGTCCATGCTTCACACGGAACCAAAGCGCAGGCGCGACCCCAGGCGCGTCCTTCACGCTCCCACTTCTTTGGCTGTGCCTCTCCTTGG